AAAGCCACCACATTGGTGGCACGCCCCAATTTTTGGGGCTTCCACTTCCAATGGGGTGGCACACCCCACTTTTAGGGAGGTTCCTATCTTTTATTGTTTAAAAGAGACAAGCCAAGGAAAACCCTAATAAACTCTAATATTGTTTAAAGCCTATAAAAATAGGATGGTCTCTACCCAAAATCTCTACGCCTTATCTTTTTATTTCTTCTAAGAAAGTTTCTCTCTTTCATGAAAGCCCAAAGGGGGCACACCCCACTTTTTCATCTTTGATCTCTCTTTCTCAAGGCTAAGGGTTTTAGGGTATAGCAAAAAAAGAATTCATCTCTCTCAAACTATGTTGTTAAAGAAATTCACCTAGGGCCGTTTGGGTACCTAGAAATCTATTACGTGATAATAGATTACAAGGAAATATGACATTTCCACTGTTTGGATACATTTAATCGTAAAGAAATAGAAAGAGATTACGTCAAATTTCTCCAAAAATCAGAAAATCTATTACGCATGATGATAGGTAAAAAATCAGAAAATCCATTACCCACGGTGATGGGTACTTTTGGGAAATCTTTGGCCTGCATTTTTGCCTAACCTATCCTCATTTAAAAAATCTTCTCTTATAAGCTCTCTCTTCATAATAACTAGGTGATTCCTCCCTTTTGAAGCTCGTCCCAACATCTGAAGGCATCAACTGTCATAAAAAAACAACAATAATAAAAATCAAAATTAGTAATCAATGATAAATTACACAATACAATCATAATAAAAAAGCTCATCCCCTCATCTGAACGCATCAGCTGTCATATAAAAAAATAATAATAAAAATAAAAATTAGTAATTAATAATAAATTACATAACACAATAATAATAAAATATTTCACACAACATAATCCTCATAAGAGATTACTAAAATCTCAATTGAAATGACATACATCTTTAGTCTCCTCCAATACCTCAAAATTGTATACTCCAATTACCAAACCTTCTAGTTTACTAATCAAACTTCTGCATATTTTTTAACTCGTACCATAGAGATTTTGAATTTAATATCTTAAATTTATTGTTTATTTGAAATTATATAGAGAGACAATTGAAAGACTTCTATAAAACATACATAAAAATAAGGCTTATCATAATAAGATCATGTTATTCCAATCATATTGTTCCAATGACTTATCATGTTGAAACCAATGTCATGTTAGAAGGCATGTGATTCCATGTAAGTACCAAAGGTATGACTGTAAAATGGTACAAGTTATTATTAAAAAATATTTTTGGAATGGTGATGATGTTATTATTAGAAATCTTTTTGGAATGATGTGATAATGATTTTAATTCCGTATTTTAGTGAAATTTTGTGACAAAAGAGAAAGAATTGATAATTCTGCATTTTAGTAGGATTTTGTGACAAAAAAGAAAGAAATGATAATTTGTAGGCATGTGTTGGTAAAATGTTGGTAATGCATTTCCTATATTTCTTTCAAACATAGCTAAACAATAACTATGTATTTCCCAGGTTGCATCTAAATACTAAGTAACAATCAATTTACATGTAATGCATTACGCAAACAATATTTTCCAGTTATCCAAACGGCCCTCTAGGGTTTGAGTTTGTGGTCAAAGGGGTTCAGATTTTATTGGTGTGGCTTGGCCTAAACTTGCTTTCTCGGTTGATCATTGATCATGTGCCATCGGATGGTGGTGACTTTGTGTGCGGTATAATAAGCTCGGTTGAGGTAACTTCCGACACTTTCTTTTTTTTTTCTTGATATATTTAATTATATTATTTATATATTTCCAAAGATATGAATTGTAGATATTTTCTTTGATTAAAGGAAAATTGGTTTAATGGCATCAAGGTTTTTAAGATTTTAGATTTGTTAGTTTAATTTTCTTTGAAGCAAAAGTTATTGAAATAAGACAGTTGTAAGTGATCTTTGCCAAAAGAAAAAGAAACTAAAAAAGGGGGTAAAAAGAAGAAAATAAAAATAAAAATATTTCCTGATAATATCACACAGTCTATTTTTTAGATAACACCCGATACCTCCCATTTTTTGGGGAAAGAAAATAAATAAAAAGAGTTTCCCTTCTTCTTTTTTCATAAACAATTCATCTCCCCCATATTTAAACCCCAATTTCATTCCCCTTACATAAATCCATCTCTATTAGCCCCTAAAACTCATTTTGGGTTCTGAAGTTTCTTTCGGAGAGATTTTTTATCAAAATCTCATCATTTTTTACCTTAAAACCCCAATTACACCATTTTTACATTCTCTCAATGAAATAGTTTGAAATTTGTTTCAAATTGTTCTTCTTTGAACCCACAAAAAAAACCCATATCAATTTTTGGAAAGTAAAATAGATATGGGGAGTCCAAATTTTCAAGCGCTATACCTCATTTTAGGTTCTAAAGTTTCTTTTGGAGAGATTTTTTATCAAAATCTCATCATGTTTTACCTTAAAAACCCAATTACACCATTTTTACATTCTCTCAATTAAATAGTTTGAAATTTGTTTCAAATTGTGCATCTTTGAACCCAAAAAAAAACCATAGCAATTTTTTGGAAAACAAAATTGATATGGAGAGTCCAAATTTCGAGCGCTAACAAAAACCTTAGTACTAGTTTCATTAAACTAATTCAAATTTGTCCAAAAACATTATTATCACGTTGATTACTTGGATTTAGGAGCCGTTTGGGTATGAAAATATATTACGTGACAATATATTACAAGAAAATATGACATTTACACTGTTTGGGTATACTTTAATAGTAAGGAAATAGAAAGAAATTACACGAGATTATCCGATATTTCCCAAAAATCACTAAATCCATTATGCACGGTGAAAGGTGAAAAATCTATTATGAGGTTTACGGTTTATCTTTGGAAATCTTTTGTTGCCCTATGCTGCCTTATCCTAGTCCAAAAAAATATTTCCCTATATTGTACAATTATTAAGGGTAAGTAGAAAGTGGAAAAATCTATTAAGGGTAAGTAGAAAGTGGAAAAATCTATTACGAGGTTGACAGGTTATCTTTGGAAATCTTTTGAAAGTAGAGGATATGAAAAGGGAAACCTTAATTGATTTTAACAGGTGTGCAAGGACAATTTTCTATTGCAATCATAATAAAAAATTTATACATCTTTCTATCCCCAATTTGAGTTGTAACCCTCATCTTCTATTGCAATCATAATAAAAAATTTATACAACCCCCTATCCCCAATTTGAGTTATCATCTGACTCTCATATAAAAGCAAATTTTTTTAATAATTGGTAAGTGAAAGTAAATGAAAATCAAAATTGATTTGAACAGTTCTAGAATTTGAATTGGGACAATTTTCTACTGCCATCATAATACAAAACATTTCTACAAGCCTGCCATTCTCAATTTAGGTGGTAGCTGCCATTAGTTCTCGTATAAAAAACAAAAATAATAAAAATAATAATTGATAATCAATGAAAAATTACACAACACAATCTTAATAAAAAATTTTACACAACATAATCCTCATAAGAGATTAGTAAAAGCTCAATTGAAATAAGATACATTTTTATTCTCCTCCAATGCTTAAAAATTTTCTATTCCAATTACCAAACCTTTTAATTTGTTAATCAAACTTCTTCCCAAACTTTCTAGTTTACTAATCAAACTTCTTTCCATTTTTTAACTTGTACCATAAAGATTTTGATTTTGATATCATAAGTTTATTGCTTATTTGGAATTATATATAGAGACATTTGAAAAACTTCTATAAAACATAAATAAAAATAAGGCTTAACACAATAAAATCATGTTATTCCAATCATATTATTCCAATAACTTATCTTGTTGAAACCATAGTCTAATCATGTTAGCCAAACATAGCCATATTTTTCATATTTGGATGGTAATGCATTTCTCATATTTATTCCAATATTAGAGAAGCCCTAACAAAAGTTTTTGAATCAAAGCCAAAAATCTCCTTTTTATCATTTCTTTTTCAGTTTCCCCCCAAAACTTTTTCTTTATTTCAATTTTGTATTTGATTTATTGCTCCAATTAGATGAAATAAAATATTTGATTTTAGTTTTACTTATTCATACTTGGTTACTTGCTTTTTTAGTTCTCCTTTCTCATTTTTTAAAACATCGGCCACGTTGGTTAAGTGGATTCAACAATTCTACCCGTTCAGCTCGCCCGATGTTTGTCCAATTTGACCTACCGGTAAGCATTTTTAAACATTGACAAAAAGATAACAGTAAAGTAGATAAAGAAATGGAAAAACATATAATTACAAAGTGTTCGCAATTAATCTTGACCATTGGATGTAAAACTAGATAGCTGTTTTATTCCATGACCAATTTCAAACTTTCGAAAAAAAATTTCGAACTTTGTGACACACCCAAATATCAAATTTCAAATGGATATATGACCTTTTTTCAACAAAGGTAAATGGTATCATTGTATACAATCCATAAATAAATAAATTACTAATATCTCATTTAGATTAAAGAAAATATATCAATAGCTACGCAATGATAATGAGTAGTGATATAGGTAAAATCTAAATCATCAGATCCTCATCATGTAGTTCAAAATACATGTTATTATATGAATTTTAATATTTTTTTCAATAATCGGATCATAATAAAATTTTAAACATGAGTACTAAAAAATAAGGCACACAATTAAAAAATATTTTTCAAAATATAAAATAACCAAAATACCCCTAAAAATGATGAGACAATTTGATCATTTTAAATTATTGAAAATAATATTTTTATATTTTATATGGTACACAATAGCGTTAAGTATATACATCCAAAATTTCATTTTAATCAGATTTATAAAAAAAAAATTAAAATTCATATAGTGATCTGCATTTTTAACCACATGATGAAGATCTAACAGCTAAGATTCTACCTATACTACTATTAATTATAGCTGCCAAGCAATTGTAAGGTTTACTCTTAGATTAAATATGATAAACAAATAAAACAACCAAAAGTAAATAAAACAATAATGTATTAGTATCTCATTTCGGATTAAATATGACAATTTTTTGCCATCTAATTTCTCAACTGGATCGATGTACCATAAGCAACAAATTAGAAAGAAAAAAAAAAAACTTATGAACCTTCCCAGATAGACAGAGAGATAGACTAATCAAATAAAAATCAGCTGGGAGAAGTGTAAAAAATAAAATAAAATAAAAAATCAGGGACTCGCCCAGGCTTAGATCAGTGCCTTGGCATTTCTGGAGGCAAAACTGTGGCCACTACTTGCCCGAGCCCCTGCTCCAACCTTAGTTTCTTTGTGTGAAAATCACCAGCCGGCTAAGCAAGTGCTGGAGCTGTGGGACCCTCACGAGCCCAAGCCTGTAATTTTCAACACTGGCTGGAAGAGAAGATCGAAGCCCACTATCTACGAACCATTAGGTGAAGTGGTCATCAACTAATGCAAATAATTTTCATAAAAGACTTCTTTATCACCTAGCAGCTCATATAGAATCCAGAGTACTACTCACCGCTTCAAGTATAAGGGCACCCAAAGATTCATCACCTGTGCTAATTACACTACTGCTCCCACTAATATCTATAACAGCCTTGTTGGGTTCACTTACATGTATCTTGCAAGAAAACCCAGAACTAGTTTCATGTTTTACTAAAGTGCCATTAATGCCCCTTTCTTCCAAGGCCACTAATAACATACTTGGATCCATAGAACCCCAGTGTACTACCCGATTATGGAAGATTCTAGAAGATTTTTCTGCCAGAACCGGAAGGTCACCTCTTCTCTGGAAGATTCTGGAATTCTCAACTGAAACTACATCCATCAAGTCCTTCTCGTCCTCGTGTTGAAATGTCCTGGAAGGTTCTGGAACTGGCCCTAATAGATGTCTTCCAAGATTTAGATTTATCTTGCCTTTGACCCTTGCTATGGCCATGCTTCCATTTTTCAGTAGTTTGGGCTTAAGCCCAATGGCTAGGTCTTTTGATAGTTCAGCTTCAATCTCATTTCTAAGGCATGGGATCCTCACAGTTTCATTTTTGGTGTAGTATAGGATCGTATAGAGATTTCGGTCATCAGGCAAAACCCTTATTCTAGAATCCTCTGGATACTGTAGCAGAAATGAAAATGGTTAAATAATCGTAATGGGAGAAAATATACTGTAACCCAATGGTCTATGAAAACGATGGAGGAGTGCAATGCAGGTATGACCCTGCTGATCAATCCCACTCTCCATCACCATTCACCATTTCATGGGGCGGTGATGACCTCAATGGCATAGGATTTTCCATAGACCATCAGATTGTGGTATTTGTTCCCATGTAGAAATGGTGAAACTTTGGAGTACCAGTCAATACAATGGTAGATGCAAATGGGCAGAACATATTTACCAGCACAATCTTTGGCTGTAACTTTTCCATTAACGGCTGAACTTTGTCCAACCTGGACAGCAAATAGAAGCATACTCTTAGCATGAGTAAGCAGAGAATAAGTCTATGTCCGGAGTTATATAAGGATATCAGAAACAAAGAAATTCATATGCTGTTTTTATCTTTGAAAGCACAAATTAATCATTTGACAAAATCAAACCATTTCTCACCCATATCTAGCCTCTAATTTACCAAGTTATCAGGTACGCAATTTCCCAATATCTAGAAGTCTACATATTGCAAATGCCCTAAACATTTCCAGACATTAACTTTGCACAAATCTATGGAGTACCATCACTTTATACCTGAATTTATCAAGTAGACCCTCATTGCAAATGATAAATTCATCACTCATCCATTAAGCAATTCAGATTTATAGTTATTATAACTGTAAAATTTGCCTACAAATACTCTGGGTGAAACATACTAACTACTAGATATGAAATGCATATTTGCAGAAGATAACCTTACATAAGTCACAGCTTTACGAAATGCACTATTTTCCAAAAGACTGCCCTTGGAATGCCCTAAAATTTTCCCAATCAAGGTTTCAATGGTTGGGATTCAAACCAATGTTATCCAACTTGCTCGGCTTCGGTCAAAGCCTTCGGATTTTAAACATGAACTGAAGCAAAGACATGCATGGTGTTGCCACTTCGGTTAGATTAGGGGTGCTTCGCGCAGCTTCGGGCTGATTCGAGTCTCTTCGGGACTGCTTCAGCTAGAAAAGAAATACCTATATAAAAGCATTTAAAAAAATAATAATAATTTTTTAAAATAATTTTTTTATCTTTTTTACTTTTTCCATTATTTTTATATATTTTATACATGGGAAAAGTTTATATAAGGTTGCAACCTTAAAATGTAAAAACCACGGATGCACCTCAAAAATCCATCGGAAAAGGTTGTTTTAATATTGAAAAATCCTCTAATTGATCATGTTGACATCGAGATGAATGACTATGAAAAAGAAAAGGATTTTGAGTCCCAGAAATGGTACATCTTACAACACATTATCTAGACGGTCCATTTTCAAGATTTTCATATATTTATAGATCTACTTGATTTTAATTATTTTTGGAGTTTAAAATTTTATAATTAGATATGAAAATAGATTTTGAGATAATCTTAAGAATATTTCACATCAAAATAATATGTAATTTGAAGGTACACCTTAAATGGATTGTTTAAGGTTGCAACATTATGGAAAATACACCCTTTATATATAAATCTGTAATTTATTTACATTAAATTTTTAAAAAAAAGTCCAAAGTCTTCCTCCGAATCGAAGAAAACTCCAAAGCGAATATGCCAACATTGATTCAAACCACCAAACAAGCTTCCAATTCCATGTTAAAAAGAGAGAAAGAAGATATCATATAGAAATGGGGAATTCAATCCCTTGGCAGAGAATCAACATCGCACCCTTGAAGGGTAACATATAGACATAAATGCAAAATGTCATTGATACGTATCAATGTAAAACAAATACATGATGTACATATATTTTAACAATTTTTTCCAACAAACCAAGCCAATTTTCCTCAAATTTCTTAAGTTTGGAACTACTGAGAAAACCACGTGGGGCTTTTCAAATTGAACAAGATCAGATGATGCTCCTCCTTACCTAGGCACCTACAGGGCCACTTTTAATTACAAGGACACAACATTGAAGTCTCTTGCCACCTATTAAAGACAGGTTGTGGTCCAATAATAACTCCCACAGAAATATTCAAAACTTAATATTGCTGACAAATACTTGAATTTATACCAGGACCAGTAATTTTTTTTTGCACAATAAATTGCCATTTTTAGACCTACCAAAATCTATTTTGAAGGGTGAATAATCAATGTATATTTTCTATACTGAGTGGTTGATGGATACACTTCTAATTTTGAAGTTTTCACCTCATTGTTATAGTACGTATGCTCGTGCCGGGCCTAGAACATCGTGATTCATTTCAATAACAAGCATTTAGGTTTTCATAAAAGGAAAACTACTACAAGGCATCATTGTTGTGGAACAATGCTAAGTCCCTATCAATTTAAAAACAGTAAACAAATCAGTGATTACCTTATGCCAGACAAAAAAGAACATTGGAGGACCTTCATCGCTAAAGGCTTGAAAGGCAAGAGGGCTATATCAGTATCCATCATATGCTGCAAGTTAATAAAATGGCTTCCAGCATCAAAATGTGGCTTGAACAATTGCAGCAGCTAGATTTGTGAAGTATATCATAAAACATTTTGAGCAATTTGGCTCAGTCATTTCCCAGATATAAAAAACCGAAGTATGCTATGATCCAATGAACTATTTGGAACCAGCGTCCGTTGGTTCATTACCATCCAATGAAATCATTGATGTTGATGGGGAGATAATGGAAGCCACCAGAACAGGACATGATCTCAATTGTGGGTTGCACTCTCTCCCCATCACCATCCATCATTTGCTGGATAGTGATAATCCCAACAGATTACAAGTATACCACAGTCCATTAGATATAACATGCATTCCCAAAATAAGAAAGTTACAAAGAATACCTCTATAACAAGCAAACATTTTTCATTCCCCCGCCAACGTCGAAGTAAATGAACAACTGGACCAATCCGCAGATTCCAATGTGGGGAGAATACTATGCAAGGTTCCTGCCATGCGTTTCTATATAAAACAAAATTACAAGGATCAATTTTCCCAAGATGGAAATAGAGATATCACAGTTATGAAACCAATGCACACATTGATGGGGGAAAATTGAAGATTAGAAAAACAGCAATTTTCAGGCAAAACACAAGCAATCTCCCAAAGAAACCTCTGGTTTCTCCTACACAAAACCCTAACTATAGCACACCAAAGCACAAAGCTTCCTCTTTTTCAAAAACAAGTCATGCAGATGAGCCATAAAATCTCCATGCACTTCTATTTATATTTTAATTATGGTACAAAGTCCAAAAGGCCTTAGCCAAACACATAACTCACTAAATATTCCTAACGTAAAAATAAAATTTGTAATGATTTTTTTACCTCTGATAAAACACAATTTTTTATAACCATTACAACTACTTTACTGAACAACAGCTAAAAACACCTTCTTCTTTGTTGGCTCAAAGATTGTTCGTGATAAGAAGAAATCCTCAAGAAAATGGATCCTTATATATATATTGAGGAATCAATCCAAATTTATCAAATTTGGCTATCCCTAAACTTGTGTAGGGAAACTTCGAACTCAATTTTCTGGCTTTTAAAGGCTTTCTCAATATCTATTATTTGAAGTTTATGATTCTACCATGCTTATGTTGCACTACTTTGATTCCAATGCCCTAAATCTCTTGAATGCTTTACCTCTTCTATATCCTTGAGATCTTCAATGGCCTTGTTTTTTATTAGTCCCCATACTGTCTCCTCACCATATGCTTCACAAGCAAGATCGTCTTCCGAGCATCTTCATCTTCTTCTTGAATCTTTTCGTAAATCAGATCTCCCAAGAGATCTTGTTGATCATCCGTGTATGTATCGTAGATTGGTTGCAAATCCCAATCTACAACCTGTTGACTTTGGATACAACCAATATTCTTGCAGCTTCCTCCATCAATCATGACATTACAAAACCTTCCCATATGTGGTGTATTGAGTGTGGAAGATATCTATGAGCAACCACTCTTCTTCTCCACTGCCTGAGGTGTGATCATGCTGCACCAAATCACCAGGGCTTACCCATGGTCACTAAATGTCACTTTAGGCTCAATCTTCTTCAGGTACCTCATCATAAATAGGGACTCCATCAAATCATAGCTTGTTGTCCTCTTCTAAAACTTCCTCAGAAAGGTTCATAAATTTTCCTAATTGGGCGCTGAGAAGAGACATGGCCGATTACCGAAAACTTAAAAGTACTTCATAAAATTGCTATTTGAGCGATTCACCCGACAAGAATTGCCCCCAACACCCACAGTATCCTGCAGTTTCATGCCGTGAGATCTGTCCAGCCACACTAGGGAAAAATTCCACGACCACTTGTACCACCCTAAGCAGTGGCCCACCTAGACTATGGGGGCCTTTGTTGATCCTCAACCTTGGCCGTAGGGTTTTAAGCTTCATCTAAGGCCCAGTAGCATTGTAGCACCGCCACATCTTGTATTGATGTTCTCAGCCCACCAACATAGTTGTATTGATGTTCTCAGCCCACCAACAAAGAGAGCTAGGGCTTAATTCCTTTCTTTCAAGTTTCAACCCAATCACTTCAAGCCATCAACTGATGAAAGTCATATACGTACCCTTCCACAATTTTTACTCCCACAATTTTTACTCCTTGACAAAGGTTATTTGTCCTTTGGTAAAGGAACTGCAGATCATTTTCAGGTAGTATTTTTCCTTCAATTTATTTTTCATCTTCTCCCAAGTATTAATTTTGGGCTTTTCCATTTTCTCCTTTCTAGCCCTAAGTTGATTCTACCATGCCGAGGCACCTTTCTTCAATTTTATGGCAATAATTTTTTATTTTTGGGGGGACCTCCTTATAACCAAAACTCCTTCTATAGTGTTTAACCAGCCTATAAACTCCTAGCTTGAGGATTAACCATCAAAATTGGGAATATCAACCTTCATGTCAGAATCCCTAGAGTGGTGCCTCCCACGCTTAGGCCTTCCATCATTGTCCTGACTCTACACGAGGAACACAACAATGAAACAGATTGTACTCGAGATCTTCTTGGGCCAAAAGATCACCGTCTTGCCCATGATTGATACTCGCTAACTTCTACACCAACTGTGCACTTGCCTTCTGAGGTCTTCAATCGCCTCAACCCTTGGATCATGGTATAGATCTATGAAAAACCTCTTCCACAGCCCCTTCTCGCTGCCATGAGCTTACTGAAATTGCAAACCCAAGGTAGAAAATCAATAAAACCTAGCTGAAATCAGTAAGATCTAGGCTGAAATTGGCAAATTCAGCACTAAAATAACCAAAATTTTGGCCAAATCAACAAACCTTAACCCAAAGTCAACAAACCCTAGACTTAGTTGTAGTTCCCTGGCTGGGTTGTTCAAGAAACCTAGGCTCTAATACCAAATTGATGTAGGATAATTGAAGAACAGAAAAACAGCAATTTTCAAGCAAAACACAAGCAATCTCCTGAAAAAAACAAAAAAAAAATATATGAGCTTGTTCTCCTACACAAAACCCTAACCAGGGTACACCAAAACACAAAAGCTAAACAAGTCACTCGATTGAGCCATAAAGACCCCACATACCTCTATTTATATTTTAATTGAGGTACAAAGTCCAAAATAGCAAAAGAAAATTGACTAAATAGTCCTAACTTAAAAATAAAATTCGTAATAACATGTTTACCCCTAATAAAACAAAATATTCCATAAGCACTTCAATATTTTTCTAAACAACTTCTAAAATCCTAAAAAAAAAAATCTAGAATTCCTTTAAAAAAACTTAAAATCCCTAAAACATAACCCTAGAAAATTGCAAAAAATACAACCCCAAAATTTAATAAGAAAATTTTGAAAATAAGAGGCATCTTGTCCTGCCTTACATATCAATTGCAGGTGTTTTTTTTTTTGGATAGTTCAGTTGTAGGAGTGGAACTTGGGATGTAATGTTGCTTATGTCAACTGCTAGCCACTCAAACCCAAGCCCTATTCCATATGAATTGAATGTTTAGTTTGTAAGAAACATGGACTGGAAATACACCTAGAAGCCCTGAAAATCATCAGAAACATTGATATCCCACAAATACTAGAAGAGAAAATATATCATCTGCTGCCTGTTTATCGTTTATAATATAAAGCTGGGCTTCCCCATGCAATGCCCTATTTTTATTGATTGGCTCCATCCTACCTTCCAAACATGACCACAATCTTATCCCAAACCTCTGCAAAGATAATGCAAAAATAATGGCCTACCCTTTCATAAAGGAAAAGGATCACTTCTCTTTCAATGCCAGAGTACATCTTAACATCCCCTAGAAGAATATCATTAGGTGACACGTGCATGTCCAAGTTCTTACCATAGGCCAATATATCATCCAATTGTCGACCATTAACAACTGTTCTAGGCAGGTTGCTACAAACTTGTCTCATTACATACCACTTCACGAACCATCACTCTGAATAATCAAATTTAACTTTTTATCAGTTAACAACATATCAGTGATCCACTCACGCTAAACCTGGAAGCCTACAAGACCAAATCAGTTCAATAATGTCTAGACCTCCTTAAGATATGTTTAGTACATCCAAGACTCTAAATTTAAAAAAACTATTGCAGCCTCATTCTTCTGCCAGAGCAACAAATAGGATATTAATACCCTAATCTTGTAAAACTTATTCTGTAATTACCAGGCAATTCAACATTTTGTAGGAAATGATAGTTCTTCATGTTTGTCATGTGAACAAATTTTAAAGAGAAGAGGGGATTCCAACCAAAGGACTTCACGATGACGTGCAATCACAGAATGCGTGTGGCCCCCGAAGGTTCATAACAATGGATTTGTAAAGTTTGAAGTTGAATGACCACACATGATATAGGAGATTGAAAAGGGACAGAAGCAACCACCCAAGAATGATTTTGAGAAAGGTCGTGGCATGACCATAGTTGGCAAGTCGGGAATTTTCAATAAATCGGCTTACCTTAAAATCGGGAAAAAATCGTTTTTATTTTAAAAAATCGGATGAAAATATCAAATAAAAAATACAGATCGGCAAAAATACTTCATGTAAAGATATCACCAATATATCGGACTAGGCTAAAAAAATTGGAGTAAAAAAATCGGATAAGTTAACAAAGATCACAACTACTTCATACCAAAAAAAAAAATACACGATATAAATTTTCACATTAAATAATTTAACAAAGATCACAACCACTTAAAAAAACCAAAAATAAGTACACCATATAAATTTTCACATTAAATACTTCAACAAATATCATATCTACTTAAATATCAACATACCCAAAAAAAGGCACAATTTTTTTTTACAAATATCAAATCTCTTTAAATATCAACATACCCAACATACACCATATAAATCTTCACATTGAATACTTCAACAAATATCAAATCTACTTAAATATCACTATACCCAAAAAAAAACGGCACAATTAAATATCAACAAATATCAAATCTACTTCAATATCAACATACCCAAAATCTACTTTAAAAACCCAAATCTACTTAAATACTTTAGCAAATATCAATATACCCAAAAAAATGCACAATTTTTTTTTTATCTTTAAATGCTTTAACTATGGTTAAGTCACTTATAACTATGGTTAATATAAAGGTTACTTTATACTTTATATAGTTGTTTTCATTGAAAACCGCTTCTTCAAAACCATTTGTGAGCTTTAAAACTTTTGGGAAAAAGATGGAGCAAGGCTTTGGAAGACTTGAGAAAGAGGAAGAAGCGCGATAGAACTCTCTTCTCCCTTGATCTCACTAATAAGGAAGCTCGATAGAACAGCAAGGTCTTTGAAAGACCTGCGTTTCATTGAAAACAGGGTATGCTTCTTCAAAATTGGGGATGGGGGTTTGCTTTGTGAGTTTGGAAAAGCTCAAAATTGGGGATGGGGGTTTTCTCTGCTAGACAGAAAATCAAATGGGGTTCTTGGGGATGGGGGTTTTCAGGAGCATGAAGATTATGAAATTTGC